GAGGCATTTCAGTGTCCTTTGTTATCAGACTACACCATGCCTTCAAGGATCTCCATGTGGATGTCCTAGTGCAATTTCTGCACTCCTGATTGAGACTGCTGCTGCCTGGAGCAATCACACTCAGTCTCAGTATCATTCCTACTGTAAGGTAAAATCCACAGAGAATACAGAACAGATGAAAACAAAATCTGTCTGTTAAGTAGAGGTGGCCCTTAAAAAAATCAGATTGGTCTGAATTTTAAACAGGAAATAGCCTCCAGGTGTCAGAAAAAAGAACCAATAAGTAAGTGTAAAGGAAAATTTCAGTTGATTCCTTAACAGAGTTGTAGAGCACTGAAAATACTTTTTTTTTCTCCTAAGGAGAGAGGACCCAGTAAATGTAGGGCAGAGATATTTCCAGAAAGTGCATATTGGAGTGCTGGGTTCCAGTTCCTCTCTCTCATGTTTTTGGCACTACGGCTTGTACATCTGCACAAGGAACAAACACCGAAGGACCGAATCAGCCCTATAAATGAACAGTTTCATGCACTGCTATACTTTTGCTAAAAAGTTAAAGAAGAGTTTTGAAGAAACACAGAAACAAATTAACAAGAGCTGCTTTGAAGCTCAGTTGTTGTCCGAGCTCTGTTTCTCATTTTGCATTTGCTATGTGAACTTAGAAAAATGTTTTGTTCTTTATGCTTCTTTTGGAGATTTGCCTGTGAAGAGAATGCAGAAAATATCAAACTGCCTGCAGGGAAGTGAGTGTCAAGTTCCACTCCCTAGGGATCAAGATCTTCAAACTATTTTAAGGTTATTAAGCCTACTGCCACTAGCAGGTTCAAATCAAGCTTAAGATACTTAAATAGCTTTGCATATGAGGTGCTAATCAAGCAACAAGGTTTAGTTGGAGACCTTTTGATTAGTTTGGTCTTAACTGTACTCACTGCGTGTACCCTGAATACTGTGGGAACGTAAGTGGATTGTGAGGATGACTTTGCTAGCATGGTGAAATCATGAAAGCCAACAGCCTGCTGGATTGAGATTGGGGTCGTGAGGGGGAAAGGATTTAATTTCAAAAGCCACCAATCAAGACAACAGCATGAGCTCAGGAGCAGACAGACACACTGGTATGCTGCGTGGCCACCTTTTTAATTTGATGCCCAGGAAAAAGGTGGGGTTTTTTAACGTGTGGCATCTAAAGGCAGAGAACACCTTTGCAGAACTTTACACAGTCAAGTACTGACTGTTTGTTCACTTGCCTTTGTGGAGACCAGAGAAATTAGAAAGCTCTATTTTCATATCATAAAACACACGAAGAGGAGCGAGCATATTTTAAATGTTCACTGGTAGTGTTAGGACTGTGGTATATCTCAAAAAGGCCGTGAACAGCTTGAGTTAAACACAAGCTGAAACGAATAAAAATCTGTAGGACAGCATCTCATCTAATGTGTTTTATAAAAGTTGGATGAACTTTTCCATTTGACTTGAAGGAATGTAATCTTTTCCAGATATAACCTGGGTCTTTGTTTGTTTTTTTAAGATACTGCTTAAGGATCAAGGCTTCACAGAAGGATAGTGTTTAGAGGGACACCGTAAAACAAAGCTCTTCCCACTCAATTCTAGTGGCACAGAGTCAATAAAAATTGCTTCTAGGAAAGAAGGAAAGTTTTGAAGAAGTGCCTTGAGAACAGAGAAAACAGGGAGGGACACGGCAGCAGATAGTGTTACTCCTGGGATCAGAACCGTAACTGAATGCAACAGACCCAAGACAGCTGCACAGTGGGAGAAGGAGTGCTACACTTGGACAGCTATTAAGTTTCAGAAAAAGCTTGAGTTTCAGCAGACTGACATAATACAAGCTCTTTCAGTTATTTCCCTTTTAAAAGCAAGTTGCTTGCCTCACGTTATCCACTGCCTCTTCAGCCTTCTTTGCATTTAACCCTGGAACTCCATGCAGATAAAACCAGAGACATTAAGGTAAACGATACAGAATCTCGTGCTCCATAGGCCGCTCTCCCAGTACTACTGTATGAGGAGTGACTGTGTGAGCAGTAAGTACTAAGTTCTTCCTGAAGGTAGGAAACGTCTGTTTAAATCCCTTATGTTCCAGAAGGGAACCCACATCTAACCTCAGGCAGACGTGAAAGCCTTATTATTGCAGTGCACGCCTGAGTGAATGACTGTTGTAAGGAGAAAGGTGCTTCTCACCACAGCCTACCTGGAGAATGAGACAGGGTGCAAAGACTTGAAGTACGTTATTAAGAGAAACCCAAAAAGTCAGAGATAAGCCAGTGGTATCAATGTGCACCTCTTCAAGGGGGCCTGGTAATTAGACAGGCTGACTCCCTCCAGAGGCACATGAAGAAGACAACCATCTAAGGAGTTCCTGGTGATCAAAAGAATAATTGGATGCTGGATCAACTCATAAGGTAGAGGCAACATATACCTGGAAACTCTCACAGGAGAAAAGTGGTGAGAGAAGACAACAGCGGATTCCTCTTCATACCCAGGACAGACATCCAAGGGAAGGCACAAGTTAACATTGAAGAGAGAGCCCTATTACCTGTGTGCATGGCCACCAGAAGGCACGGCTCCAAGAGGAACACTATTTAGATGTGGCTCAGCAAAGCTCTACTGCTGTAGATGGGGTAGGATCAGTACCAAAAGCTAAAAATCTGTTAACTGCTGCAACTGTTGTCATGTTGGATGACATAGCGAGCAAGTATGTCTTGACTTGGGAGAAGACAGTAATCCCCAAAGAGTATGTTCTTTGTAAGAGGACAGAAAAATACAAAGAGGTTGGTTTGCCAACTTGAGAAAGAAAGAATAGAGACACACAATAACCTACAAAGACAAACATCCACGGCCTCTGAGGAGCACACCCATGACATTGTGGGACTCTTACCAAGGAAACTCACACGAGTGCTGAAAACCAGATGGAGTAAGTGACTGCCAAAGTTAAAACCTCACTCGGCACCAAGCAGATGGATGGCATCAGGTCAAAGGTTGCTGCTGGATATGAACTTGGCACTAGAACCCGGGGCCAGGAATGGAGAAAGATCTGGCATCAGACAAGTCCCTGGCACCACTCAGAGACAGAAGATTGACATGGTTTAAAGAAAGCAGTTCCAGAGAATTCCAAACAATTAGATTTGGAAACTGACACCATCAGCTGCAAGGATCCAAAGAAAGTCTCTGAATGACTGCAAGACTTTTTCCAGTGAACTTACAGTTGTCAACCCACAAGCTGGCAATCAAGTGGGCGAAGCGTGCCCACTGGCTGCATTCATTTAGTCCCCAAATTCATCCACTTGCATGCCTTGTAACCTTCCTTTGAGTTGCTGTAGCGTGGGTGGGAGCAGATGGTCACATCAACTTCAGACAAGAGAAAACAGAGCTGAAAGCAACCTCCTGAGGATGTACTGCATTTAACTCAACGTGCTTGCCTAGCCTGTTCTTCACAATCTGCAGTACTGACAGTCCTACGACAAGTGCTTACTACCAGAATGTTTATCTTACTATTTAGCTCTGTTTTCTTTACTGTAAGGTCAAGTCATAGTTTCTAGTCCTATCACCAGTGGACAGAGAACAATTTATTTCTTTCATCTCTACAGCGATTTTTTACCTACTGGAAAAATGCATCTTATATTCCCTTAGTCTTCTGTTCTTTAGACAAAACCAACACTTTTTTTCAGTAGTCCCTCATTAATCACATTTTTAAGCTTCTGATCATGTGTTCTCCTCTGGAGTCTCTACAGTTGTCCACATCCTTTTTTGAAGCACAGTACTCAAAACTGGACACATTCCAGCAAAGTATTACTACTACCATGTAAAGCCAAGGGATTATTTTGAGTTTTACAGAACAGTCATGGTAATACACTATTTTTTTCAACTGTGTAACATTATTGTTTCCTGTTTACTGATGTTTTTAATTGATATATTCCTCCTCTTAGGACCACAAAGCTAATTATTCCAACCTTTGTACTTTGAACTTAAAATGACTTATTGGAAAAATGGCCTAAAAGACATATAGATGAAGATTATCTGAGTTTTAACCTTACTCTTCAACAGGTTTGTAATCCCTATGACATGACAGTCTTCTAAGCTCCTTTTCTGCTTAAATATTTGACACATTTTAGCCTGCTACTCTTCCTCTTACCATATATAGTATCAGATATCGTTAATGACCTCTATAGACTTCTTAAATCAGGCAGACCTGGAGACATGGGGAAGGCACAGACATCGAGCAGCAAGGGCTTCCCTCTTTGCCAGGGAAAGGAAAAGAATGCCTTGACATGATTACTATCAGAAATTACTGAAGCTACTCAAGCACTCAAACTAGACAGCCGAACAAACACTTCCACAGATGGAAGCTGGACCAGCGCTTCGCATGAAAAAATCTGGTTTTATAACAGATTTCATTATACCATACATGCTACTTCTAAGAGTGCTTACTGGTGTCAGTGGAAACAGATGTCTTATCCTTGCAAATTACTCTGAAGAGTAAGCTCCCTGGCACAGCTCCCTAGTTCCTTCCCTTTCTCAGGAAGTGTCCCAATTTTGAAGGAAAGTCTCTTACTTTTCTAAAAGAACAAAACTCCTTTTCACGCTCTCCTCACTCTGCTTCTAGAGCACTCACTCCAGGCTTGCATCTTCTTGACTAAATCCCACTCTATTCCTTGGCTATCTTGCAAAACCCTGGATGTGACTGCTTGTGGGATTGTAGTGTACTGACTTTTCCTCTCAGTGTGGAAATGGGAGTCATGAAGCAAGGTGATGACAGACATTATAACCACTGTAACAGCAGTGAGGAAGGCTTTCCTACAGCAGGTAATAGACTAGGCGCGTGTTCACCATGTCACAGAACTCTACCCTGTCTTCCCACTGGAGAGGCTCCTCTCTAACATCTCTCACAATATTCCCAGAGGCAAGTCAAGCTTCCTGATAGAGGCCAGTTCCTGTGTTATCCACATGACAACTGTCCAGTTTTTGAAAAAATCGTCTATTTTTAACCTAACCTTCGAACTCAGAAGCATAAAAATCTAAACTGCTATGCTCTTGTGATACAAAGGGGTCTTTCCACTTGCAAAACCCCTCTTCTCTATCCATTTTATACTTCTTCAGTTGCAGCAGCAGGACAGCTATAGACTCTGTACCTAATACTGTAACAGTGGATAATACTTTCATGATATAGAAACAGTATCAAATGATTTTTAATTATTTCAGAATCTACTCGAACAAGAAAATTCTCAAATATCAACTTTAAGAAGAGATTGTTGAGAAGGAGGGGACAAGTGCTTGGCCTGCAGATTGAATACACTGTCGCCACGGGACAAGGTAAAGAGAAGCAGGAAACCTCTCCCTTGCCATGCCAAAGGAATGTTAATGACTTGGCAAAGAAAGGGGAAACATCGTTTTCAAAATGGTACGAAAAGGAGCAAAGCACATATTAAAACCAACTACTTCATCTCCCTTCAGGTTTGTTGCTTCTCACTGACCAGTGAAGAAAAGGGAGGAGAGGGCTGCTATAAATCATTGGTTACAGTACATGAGAAAACACTCAAAGCTAAATGCCAGGTATAAAGACAGATGAAGACAGGTTACTTAGGCCAGCACTAGTTTAGCTGAATTGTATCCTGCAGAAAAAAACATTCCAGGGTTTACTTTTCATTCACCTGTACTACAATCAATTTAGATCTATGTTTAATAAATTTTTTCTGCAATGCTGTAACCTCTTTAAATGACTGATAATCAGTGGCCTAATGCTGTTGCCTCTGCATAATTCTTGCCGATTTCCATGCCTCTGGGATACGTGTATTTGAGGGTTAACTAATCAGAGCTGCTTTTGCCCTCAACTGCCAAGATCATTTCCATACAGAATGGTGGGTTGAAAAATTGCATCTGCTTCAGCAATGACTGTCCTACATAAACAATGACTGGGTTGTGAAACCAGAGAAGCCATTCAGCTGTGTATATTTGAAACATCACTCTTATCTTTAATGTTGCCAGAGCCACAAGATGATTGACTGGCCAGTGGTCCTCACTCACTGGAAGAAGCACTGTTTTACTGCTGAGGCGATTCATTCCACGGAGCCTTGCTAGAATCTGGCGTCCTTCCACAGGTTTCTAGCCTGAGAACTTCTAATTATGTTTTTTAAAGAAATTGCATTTAATAACAACTAGTAAATTTGAATGCTAGTTACTGTTCAAGGCATGAAGAGATATGCCTATACGTTTCAAGACTACTATTTTATATAAGTAGGCTACATATTAAAATTATGTACCTATACTTCTACTATTTCCTGACTTTGAGATTATCATCTTATATGGGGGAGGAAAAGAAGTTTTTTGCATATTTTCTTAGGTTTAAAACCAAAGAAAAACTCAAAGCCTCAGCCAATCTGCTATCGTATCAGGTCATACTGACATAACACATTCAAAAACAAAGCTGGAGCCTTCAGACACATTACGTTAATGTTTCCTCTTGAGCAAACTGAGTAATTGGTAACAGCAACAGCCTTAACTTCTAGATAGACATGTCTGGAGAGGAGGAGAGAAATACACGCCCTGACAATGAACTGTACAACTGTTTTCCAAAGCAGGAAACAGCAAGACTTGGGATTCCCGCGTTCAATTTTAAATGCATTAGGAGAATGCTTCCAGTAATTGCAGGCACCTTTCCATGTACTCTCTTCCTCCATGCTCCAGTTTCTGCTCTTCTCCTAGTTATCTTCCACCTATCATTTCTCAGCCTATCCTGCACTGTTTAACATTTATACTGTACATTTACAAATATGCCATATACCCCTTTTTACTTCCCTCTCCCACTCAACAGAGACAGAGAAAACATTTCATTATATTTTCAATAGACATTCCCTGGTAATTTATTATATGTGACTGTCTAAGCCAACAAAGCAATGGGTCAAATTCAGCCCGGGATCACCTCCCACAAATTCACTGGAGTAATATTGAGGATAAATTTGGCTCCAAGATTTTTGTTAGAGAAGCATTGTTTGCATTCACAAGTCATCTACCAAACAAAATGAAGAAGTCATCAGTAACACAGGGAATACAATGGCACAACTAAACATTTGAACCCGAAACAGATGAAACAAGAAGCAGCCAAGAGCAATAAACTCATAAGGAAACGTAGATGGTTTTGACTAAGGCCAGACAGACATTTATTGGAAGCCAAGCTTAGTAAGCCTTACCACTTATAGTTATGTGATCGTCTTTGGAGGCACTCTGTGTTTCTTTTAACCGGATCTCTGAGCTCACATCCACTTTTCTTCCAGATAACTGCAAATAGGCTTTGAGAGAGGCAGGTACCTTGACTATAATTGAACCTGGTACAAATTTAAATGAAATCCAGTTAGTTTAACATTGAGATCAAAGCACGAAACAGGCAATTATTTAGCTAACTTCAATCAAATAATCGTTCTCTTTTTTTAAGTCTTCAGACACAGTAACCTCTTTTTTCGTCTCTGAAAGGATAAATGACGATACCTTCATTTACCATAACCAGAATACTGTATGTCACATGTAGAAAATAGTGTCACAGTATTTCCTTGGCAGATACGAAAATTAACACTGATATATACAGCTAGCAATGGCTTTTGGTAGAGGATCTTATTACAGGAATGACCAAGGGAAGCAAATCTAACAGATCTCACAAGTATTATGACTTTATTTTCATCTTCTACTTGCATATTTATACTCCTGAGCAAGGACAGGGGGTCAGATTTGATGATTAATCCAGCCACTGCGTGGCACATTATGAAAGAACTGCTCCTCTGGAATGATGAGATGCTGCTTACATCCTGTTAATGCTAGCAATTTTTGCTTTAGTGCACAGGGCCAGCTGTTCACATCCTTGAACAGATGCAGTCTCAAAAGTGACTAACCAGTTTAGACTATGTATCACTAAAATATAAACTAGTAGCAAAACTGCAGTTTTGGTGGCCCAAATAATTCTACCCTTGAGATTAAAAACAGAAATTCTGACTTCTGCTTCCCCTAAATGTGTCCTTCTGTACATCAGACTGAAAGCAGATTCTGGGCCCCCCAACCTACCCATGTTAGTCATATTTGGAATTACTCAGCCACAATGTTTGGAAGGAAGCTGCGCCCTAGATATTAAAAGAAAAACCTACTGAAATTCAGAATACCCTTTCTGTATACGTGCTGCTTAGTTTTTGCCCAATTCCAATATTCACTTTAGAAAAACATAAAAAAGTTTATTTAAATACATCCCAAAAGCTGAAGCAGAACATAAGAAAACTGATGGCCTAACAGCTAAATAGCAGTCAGAAAGCAATCCTAGCTATGCGATTTAAGTTTAACAGAATAACTTGCCTGTGACAGTCCTGATGCACAAATAACTGTCAGTATAATTTAGACCTAAATTTTGCTGGATACACAAAAGCCTTAGGATAAGAAAGGGAAAAGGTCTTCATCTTTGGGTCCTCCTTGGAGAGTTGCTCAGTGATGTGACTCATAAAATCCAACACACATGCAGCTAATTTGTCACGAACAGGACATTTTCTACACTGCAGCTGTCAGCAGTTACTCTGAATTTACAGGGTAAACGAAAACAGAACTTCATCAACTTTGCCTTTACTAAACTGTGCTGCCAAAAGAGATGTCAGGCAATGTTTTGAAAATAACATTAATTGGCTTTTATTAAATACATAACTCTCTGCTACTAATTCAAAGAGATGTTAACTCAGTAATAGGTGATTCAAAAGGTAACTAAGAAATAATATAAAAATAAATTTCTTCACACCAATGGAACCAGAATAGCTTGTAGAAGAATGGCACACAAGTGATTTCAATGCATTTCCTTCATTATTCCCATTCTGAGTAACTGCTAGGTTTTAATCTGGCGCAGGCACTGTCTCACAGACAAGAGAAAGGTACCAAACACCATGTTCATTTAAACCACCTGAAGTGCCTGACCTGATGTTAAAGTCAAGTATAAAACTGCTGTAGTGGGTTTTTTTTGCAAAACTAGGACTAACAACATGTATTCAGGGCTTTGTCATTTACAGTATCATATCTTCGGAATAGCAAAACTATGAATCCAACTTTAGGAGTGAGTTTTTAACTAAGAAGTGAAATTCTAGTCAGTAATCAGTAGAAAAAAGGAAGAATGGTAGGGTAAGGCCCTCTCATCTTGTTTTTCTGCCTTCCAATTTCAATAACAGGACATTTCATCCAGAAAAGGCAGGAAAAAGAAATGTAAATTTGTGTCAGTGGTCACTCTGCACATACATATATCAGCATCATAGAGTAAACTGTGCTCATGGCAAAGGAAGACTGTAATCCAACTCAACTGCAGAATTCTGCTGGGTACATTGCCAGGAAAAAAAGAAAGTATTGAAAAATAAAAAAATCTGTAATTCATTTTAAGTATCATTGCCCCTTACAGAGTTTACTGTATTATAAGTATTTATATACATCCTCTAATAATGAGGTAAAAAGAGAGGTAGATAAACAACAATCACAAGCTATTTTTTTCCAGACAGACAAAAAACCCCCCTTACCCCCTTTTCTTGTACACCATAAGCTGCCACAAAAAATATTGGTTTTAGTTTGCTAACCTTTCTGGGATTTCAGATCCACTTTTCTCAACTGACTGACATAAACATCTATTGTCCCATGATGCGTAGAAGCTTTCAGACTTCCATCTGATGAATCTAAAAAAAAAGAAAAAGACCTTGCATATCATTCACTGTTTTTGAATAAAAATTTACTAGAATATTTCTTTGTACTTTGAACTAATTTTGTCAATTCTTCTGTGTTTGAAAAATATATACATTTACTGAATGTTATACTTCTCTTAGAAAAACAGGTTTCTGAACAAAACTTATCTCCCCAGTCCAGAATGGTGGCATACACTGGTCCCAAGGCCATAGCCCTGCAGTTGTCGCTGGACTTGTGCCATCTACAATGCCTCAACAACACTCCTCCCTTTCTACAAAGGTGAATCTACTTTTGTGGGAAGATTAAGCACAAAATTTGAACACTAATATCTATTTTAGTTTCCAAAAGAGTTCATTTGCTCAGACTCTGCACAGGGGGAACTTTACCCAGGGAAGCTACCCCATGCAAACAACCAGCAGTTCTGCATAGTAACATCTTGTCACACAGAACTGTGTACCAGGCTTTGTAAAGTCTGCCTCACTGTATCTAAATTTTAAACAAATGTTTGAGAAAACCATTGCACTTTAATATACATAGGAAAATAGCATTCATTCTTTGCCCTGGAAAAGAGAGGCCTACATTTTCTTCTATACCTTACTAGCTTAAATCTATAACAACAAAACGTTCTAAAGAAATACTTTTACAAATGCCAAGTCTTTAAGAAGCCTTAATTGTATACTTGAGAAGTAGTCTTTAATTACTTGCAATGTATTCCAGTTTTAAATACGTAAGTTTCCACAATATTACAGTGAAGTCCTAAAGAGTTAACTTTTGAACTACTGAACAGACCTATAGCTAACAAAAATTGCAAAGAAATTATGAAGCAACTCTAGAGAAGTGTTAAAAAAATGACATATGTACACGAGCAAAAGGCAGTCAGTGAAATATCTTTTTAGATACAATGCTAGAAATGAAAGTATTGGCAAGAAATCTTGAAATACTGATAGAGACTGTTTTTCTTAGTTTCTGGATTTGCATAGAAAAAGAAACACAGTCACACTTTCAGAAGTAGCTAAAATAACAAAAATCAAACTTGAATGAAACTTCCCATTTTAAAAAGTAAAAACATTAATGAGAGAATGAACTTGATTAATCATAAGAAGGATGTCCAGCATTAACGCTTTGTGCTTGCCATACAGTTTTCGCTGTAAACAAACTCATCTGGAGTTTTTCTGATCCCAGATCTGAAGCACAGCTGTTGAATATCACTGTATTACATACAACAGTAAAAACATGGAAAGGGATTACTATCCTACAGCTAAAATTGATTTCTTTGGAGAGGAAAGTAATTAAAAAAAAAGCAGCCAATCCATATTTAGTCAGCTGGGAAACTGAGACCATCTTTGGCTAACAAGAAAACTGTCACAACTAGAATTGGATGTGAATGTTTCTGCAATCTCAACAGATTTTATGTTAAAGAAGTACTGTTCCAAATCTGAAAAGAAATTAACTCTTCATTAATTGAAATTAATGAATTGGAAAAAAAGGTTTTGTTTGTGTAAATGACAATGAAACTTTTTATTGATGACTTTTTAAAAGGTTGTTCATAATAGTTAAGTTTGAAAGTTAAATTCACTAAAACATGAAAATTTGACATGAATCAACCTTTTTTATGAACATTTTTAGTAGCGATAGCTTGACATTTTCATGTAAAAGCTATTTTTACAGATATTCCCAATCAAATTTAGTAACAGCTAATCACTGAGTCTCTACATAATCTTGACAGAGATTTTGTTGGCAACAGATACAGGAAATACCCAGTCTCTGACTTCTGCTTTAAACAAAATGTGCGATTAGTTCCTTTATCTGCCCTAGGTACAAAGAAGACTCTCCCCCCTAGGGCAGCAACCCTCTCCAGGGAGAACAACTGCTACCAGGCTGTTGAACAGCTGGCTGCTACCAGCAGTGAACACCACCACCAGCCGATGGTGCTTTACAGGGACCAATGCTTATTCAGCACTCTCACTCTTCAAATGCAAAAACAGCTCTTCTGAGGTTCTTCACAGTGCAAGGATGCCTTTTGCAAATCTAGCAGCCCCACTGCAAGACTGAACAAAGTGTTCTTTTCTAGATTCTCAATTAATATACCTTAAGAAAAAAAAAAGAGTTCTCATTTTGTGAGAGACTGGATTGTGTTTGCAGAAAGCATAAACATAAACAAAGGATGCAGGAAGAGGGCAGTAGGAATAGGTTCACCAAGGCACAGATTTACCTGGAAAGTAAAATTAAAAAAAAAAAGCCAAAAAAAGCCAAACCAACCCAAAGAATAAACAACCTCGAGGGAAAGCAGAACATTTTTCCATTGGAGAACACTGTTTTGGAAGGATGACCTGCCAGATTTTGACTCCCAGAGTACACCATAGAATAGAATGTTTCATAAGGCAGAAGAAACTACAGCAAAGTTTCAAAAACACCAAGAACCTTGGCAGCATTAACCAAACACTAAAGTTAACATTGCAATACCTGTTCAGCTTTGGTCTACGGAAATAACATGAAATATATTTTATGGAAGCAACTGAATATGATTTATGAAAATAATTTTATGAATATGATATTAAATACAAATGCTTAGATACAAATAACATCAAGAGACTTAAAGTTGTTCATCACTTCTGCAAAGTCTATTAAAGATGCTCTTTAAGTTTTGTGTCTCTATAACTCTAAACAGATGAGAAGGGGAAGGAAATGGAAAGTGGATTAAAAACAGCAAAGATGAGGTTATATAACAAAAAAGGCCATATTTAAATAAATAAGCAAATATTTCAACAAGAAAAATTACCCTATATTAAGTAACACAACCTGGTAGGACAAAATACATAACTGAAATAATAATGGAGACAACATATATTTTATAGTTACGACAGAACAAAGCTAAGGCAATTTATTTTTAAACATACACTCACAGTTAGCTGAGATTGATGTGAATAACTGAAGGTAAAAACAAGAAAAAAGTGCATAGTTTGAATTCAGAGTTTGCTAAGGACTGACAGCTCAAGGGGAGGAATTGTTCTACTAGAAATGGAACAGATAGTCACTCTTGAGCAACTTCAGCTATTTAAGAATTTACTAGCACAGGAAAAAAAAGAAAAAATAAAGGCAGTGAAGCAAGATGTCCTTGAAAAAGTTTTTCTTAAGTTTTATGAAAAATAAGTACAGCTTGAAGAATAAGACCTAAGTCACATAACTTGAGAAAGACTGTACAGTTAAAGATCACTAATAGGCCCACAAAGGTGATGAAACCAAAACATTGTTCACAACATTTAGTATCTCTTCTTCCTTCATTTTATAAAGCCAAGTACTGAAGAAAAGATTACACACAGTGATCTTTCCTTAAACCTAAGCAGAAACTTATTTACTTTTCCTAATAGCACATAATGACTAACCTTGCTCATGTTAAAATCAGTGACAAAACTGATTTCAATTGGAAAGCACAAAATATTTGTTATTATTTGGCTAAAGATAGGAGAAAGTATAAGACTCCAACATATCTGAAGCGTGAGGAAGATTTAATTCCTACTTAAATGGCTATCTAGTATCATTTGTTGATAAAGACTGCTCAATTTTCTTGTTTTGGTTCATTGTTCTTAAACTGTCACACAAAAAATATGCAAAACTGAAATGTATACACTAAATGGACAAATTGCATGTACTACTAAAAAAATCATTAGCAGTCCTTACCATACTCACCATCCAGAGCTGGCAAAACAAATGATGTAACACGGAAAGCAAAGAAATCTCTCACGAAAACAACTCCTTTGCTAACTAAACTGTTCAGATTATCCTTGTAGCTCTAAATGATCTATTTTCTACCTAGATTTTAAGTTATATCCATTGGTTTTAAAGCCCATAGTCTCTTTTGGGTAACATTCTGTTACGAAAAAAATCATTACATGCCTCAATCCTGCATCATAGTACAACGTGCAACTTCACCTTGGTAAACCTCTGACCTGCTGTAGATCAAATGGGATCTTCCCCTTTGAATATCTACCCACACTGTCTATATCTATGCATCTTCTTCCACACACCGTATCATACTGTGTTAATCGTATCTGCAAATCAATTAGCTATAGGTCTCTACTATTCTAAATATTTAAGAGACCAATGGGGTGGAAGCAACTTCTGAAGATATATGAATCTAGTCAGGAACACGATTGTCAATAATATGAAATTCCCATAAAACCTCCTGTGGAAGTTTCAATAAATTACATAAAGGTGCTCATCTGTGAGCATTGAGTTGGAGGCCAGTAACTAGCAGTGAACTCCAGGGTCAATACTGTTTAACGCCTTTATTAATGATCTGGATGATGGAACAGAGTGTACCCTCACCAATTTGCTGATGACACAAAACTAGGAGAACTGGCCAATATACCAAGAGGCCATGCTGTCATGAAGAGGGAACTGGACAGCCTAGAGAAATGGGCTGGCAGGAACCTCATGAAGTTCAACAAGGAGAACTGCAAATTCCTGCACAGGAATAACCCCAGGCACCAGTACATGCTGAGAGCCACCCAGCAGACAAGGAGCTGGGGGTCCCAGTGGAGCTAGCAACGTGCCTGTGCCACAAAAGGTGAAGGTACCTGGGCTGCGTTAGACAAATCATCGCCAGCAAGGTCAAGGAAAGTGATCCTTCTCCTTTATATCAGCACTGGTGAAGCCACACGCAGAGTACTGTGTGCAGTTCTGGGCTCCCCAGTTCAAGAGAGACATGGGCACACTGGAGAGTCTCCAACAAAAGGCATAGAGATAATTAAGGGACTACAGTATCTCTCCTGTGAGGAAAAGCTGAGACAGCTGGGGCTGCTCAGCCTAGAGAAGGGGAGGCTCAGGGGAATCTTACCATATACCTTGGTATACATATATATATGGATATATAGGCATATTTAGAAGTTGTCGAGTCTCCCCCCTCCTTATAGATACTCAAAAGCTGTCTGGATGTGGTCCTGGGCAACTTGCTTTAGGTGATCCTGCTTGAGCAGGGGGGTTGGACCAGATG